TGTAGTTAAGTCCTGTTTATAAATCTGTTTAGTACATACATTTTCAGGAGGCTCAATAGCCAATGGAGTAAGATGCGTGCCTGATAAGCCAAAGGTCCCGGGTTCAATCCGTACTCGACCTACATTTTTTTTTCTTTTGTCGAAGGGATGTCCCTGGGATATCCTTGGGACGTCCTAGGGATATCTTTTCTTTGTACTTGGTTCATCCCAGGGACGTACCAGAAGGACATCCCTAGGATGCCTTTTTTGTGGAAAGCGCATGTCCCTGGGACGTCCCTAGTATGTACCATGTCCCGACACAGAATATTCCAGGGACATCCTCGTAGAAAATGAAGGACGTCCCTGGGACGTACTCGTGTTGTTAGGGAAGTTTGTTATTTCAAATGAGACACCCTGTATTTTATTGCATTTTTAGAGTCTTCCTGGAGAGCTGATTTCATCAATGCATCACACTTGGGGTCTATCAGGAATGATTACAGAGATATAGGGTGTTCAAAATCAAGATAATCAAGATTTTTTTTGGTCGAAACTATTCATTATCGTTAAAAACGGCTTACATATGTCCCTATCTTAACTTTTGATTCACTATATCTACTGGAATTTAATTGAAAGAAATACAAAAGTTAAGATAGGGACATGTGAGCCGTTTTGATCGATAATGAATTGTTTCGACACAAAAAAATCCTAAAATAAAAAAAATCTCGAATTTGAACACCCTATATCTCTGTAATCATTCCTGCTAGACCCCAAGTGTGATACATTGATGAAATCAGCTCTTCAGGAAGAATCTATAAAAGTGCAATAAAATAGAGGGTGCTCCATTCAAAATAACGAAGTTGCTAGTTGTTTCTGATAGAAGTGGCAATACTGTATCGATGAAAATATTTCAGACGGATAGAGAATGTTCAATTATCAGAGCATCCCAATTTTCAGAATGTTCTGTCTTTTCGTTCTCCAGATACTTATTCTAATAGGCCATTCACCGTGGATCACCCTGTATATCGAGAGAGTTAAGTGCATGATTTTTCCCGAGGTGGTTTTGAAGCCAGTAAATTTACTTCCGAGGTTTATATACTATTTTTTGCACGACTCGGCGATTTTAATTGAAAGAATCTTATGATTAAATCAATTATTGTCAAGATGAAAATAAAAATCTGGGCACAAAAATCACAAAATCAAGTTTGATTATCATGACTAGGTACCGATGAATAAGAGTAGCCATATTGCTTTTTGTGAACATAAAAAAGTGTGCTAGCATATTTTCTAAATTGCTTTCCAAAGTTTTTTCAATAATTATTGCAGAAATGTGTGAAAAAACTATTGAAGAAGCTGCTGCAAACACAGTGGTAGATTTATTACCAGAAAAATCCCGGAAAATTACAGCTTATAGAGTAGGTACCTACTATGTATACCCTGTATTCCCGTTTTTGTCGGTGTAAAATCGCTTATAGGTCGTGCAAAAACTGTTTTTTTGATGTGTACTGAATATTGTACATTGTAACTTGCAAGAAGGTTGGATTCATGCAATAAAACGGGAGGACGACTGGTCTGACATGCTAAAGAAATATGATCGTGTGTGTTGAGACATTTTCAATCTATTAGCAGTATTAGCTTCTATTGCAGAAGAGGCAGAAGGAATTTTAATGAGAAATGACAAAACTTCATGATGAAAACTATGTGAGATCGTAGCAGATCAAATGGATATTTCCCGCTTCATGGTAAATGATCGAGGATCGTTATTAAAATATTTTTCATTTGGTTGTAAGTGTTTTCAGATTTTCTCTTTTCACCTACTAGGTACCTCCCTCTGCCAAATCCAAATCGGAACGAACACAAATCCTAAAAATATCTTTTGCGACCTCTAGCGTCGAGAGGCCGAACATTACGAAATAAACTGTAACAGGATCTGTACGACAGAGTGCAAGCTTCGCGTATGTATTGGACGAGGACGCCACGTGCCCTACCTTTGTGAAAATTGTTTTTGCATTCAAATCCGAAAAAAGTGTTTCTACGTGAACGAATAGTTTTCTGACCATTTTGATACCTGATTTCATCGGAACGCCATTGGGTCCTATATATTATATCGTTGAATATTTCTTTAAAATACTTTACTTGGGGTTTGGAATACCCGACGTTTTCGTGTATGCACCCGAATTTATTTTAGGTGAGTCTTACCTTTAACAATGATGATCTGGCGCCCAACGTGGGGCGATGCAAGAAAACTCTCAGGAAGTTCGTGTTTTCGGGTTTCTTCGATGTATATGTATGAAAACGTACTCGTAATAATTGGAGGTGAAATCGGATTTATTAGTATCGAATCGATGACTCTAAAATAAATGTAATATAAATTCAAGTATACCTTACATTGAATCTAAATGGGAAATACCCACATGGCAGAGGAATGTATATATACAAAAAATATCATTATGAACATCAAATTGTTAAAGGTAAGACTCACCTAAAATAAATGCGGGTGCATACACGAAAACGTCGGGTATTCCAAACCCCAAGCAAAGTATTTTAAAGAAATATTCAACGATATAATATATATATAGGACCCAATGGCGTTCCGATGAAATCAGGTATCAATAAAATGGTCGTTCACGTAGAAACACTTTTTTCGGATTCGAATTCAAAAACAATTTTCACAAAGGTAGGGCACGTGGCGTCCTCGTCCAATACATACGCGAAGCACTCTGTCGTACAGATCCTGTTACAGTTTATTTCGTAATGTTCGGCCTCTCGACGCTAGAGGGCGCAAAAGATATTTTTAGGATTTGTGTTCGTTCCGATTTGGATTTGGCAGAGGGAGGTACCTAGTAGGTGAAAAGAGAAAATCTGAAAACACTTACAACCAAATGAAAAATATTTTATGTTTCAATATTTTACCTCCAGGGTCGGTCATCGTGCACGCGACCTATTATAGAAGTAAATCTCCATATGTTATCACCTTATCAGACTACAGGGTGTTTCCTAACGACGGTTCCTAACTGCAGGTGGTGATTTCTTAGGTCATTTCAGGAAGAAAAGTTCCTATTAACATATGTCCTCCGGAGTTGCTTCGTTTCTGAGATACAGGGCGATGACATTGAAGAAAAAAAAACGGTAATTACAAAATATCATGAATATCCTGGAACCGATTTGGTTGAAATTTTGTAATTTTATTTGAACAAGGCGCTTATTTAGCCCTATTTAGATTGAAATTATTGGGGCCAGTGGCGTCTCAGGGGGCACCACAGCCAACAATATTGTAAAAAAAAAGTACGCCACTGACTTTTTTTGGTAAATTTCGATTTTTTTTTCAGATTAAGCAACTCAAAATACAAGTTTTTGGTCTCCTGTATTTTCTTCATATCCAGCTTCGAGAAAACTAATTAAAGCCACTGTATTGCATATCATGAACACCTGCATTGGAGTTTTCCATTATTGACACTTGATATGCTGAAATTTTAGAAAATGTGACAAATTAAAGTACCAAATTTCAATCAAATCGGTTTCAGGATATTCATGATATTTTATAATTACGGTATTTTTTTTCTTTAATTTCAACGACCTGTATCTCAGAAACGAAGCAACTGCGGACATATGTTCATAGGACCTATTCTTCTTGAAATGACCTAACAATTCACCCCCTGCAGTTAGAAACCGTAGTTAGGGAACATTCTGTATATTGATCAAGTCAAAAACTCATGCAACAGTATGTCGTCTCACACTTCTATGGGGGAATAATTCTGGTATCAAAAAAGGTCACTGCTTACTGATGAATTTCATATTTCAGGAGTACCTACCTCGCAACAAAGAATTTATTTTGAAGGAATAATGATATCTAAATAAGATGTAGATGTAGATACTACCCAGCAAGCAAAAACATCCCTGGGATGTTTTGAAAATGTTGGCATGAAGATATGTTATTTTGAGACGTAATATGCACTGATCAAAGAGGTCTTTGAAGGATATTGAAGTATTGTTTTTGTTTTTCTGTGGCATTTCTTTGTTTGCCTACTGAGAGGTATCCCTGGGATGTTTTGGGATGTTTTAGAAATGTAGGCATGAGGATGTTTTTTTTGAGGCGTAATATGCACTTCCCAAATAGTTCTTAGAAGGATATTGAAAGTATTGTTTTTGTTCTTTTGTGCCCTTTCTTTGTTTGTCCCACCACAACGTCTCATGCTTACGTCACAATACGATGAATTCTGATTTATTTTCGATTTTGTTCTTCTTGTTCGCAATTGGCATTCGCGTTTGCAGCGTGTCACGCTTACATCACGCTGCTAACGAACAGAAAGGAATTTGGTGAAGTTTATTGTGTTAGAAGACTTATTTAGTTTGTAATAATGACCATCAGATGCAAGATGTGTTGTTCGGTGCCTCAGTGTAATCAATATATAAAAGTACGAATTTGTCAATACTCAGCTTCTCCGCAGTTGCAAAATTATGCATTGTGGAGAACATTTCAAAAACTGGGAAACCTATTTCCAATTATATGTCTCTGTGTAGTAAGCACTACTCAGAAACCGATTAAGAAGGTAATTTCATATCAAGAAAATATTTTTATGTTCAATCTATTTTTAATGCATTTTTTCATTCAAGTGAAATGGAATCCTAATGCAAAAGTTCATTTTGACAAAAGTCTTCAGAAAAGTACCTCGAAAATGTTTTTTTCACAGCGATTTAATGTGCGCAAGACCCATTGGCTGTTCTATAATAGTTCTATTCATGTGTGAACAGAACATCGCAGTGGAGGTTCAATGTCTCGAAATCTCGTACTTTTAACATCTCTGAGATGTTTTTGTGCTCGCTGGGTAGCTGCAGGTAAGCAGTCACTCTGAGAAGTTTCAGCATGGAAGAAGATAGAGGTTAAGAAGATATTGTGTCATTCATAAATATTCTCCTCAGAATGCGGTATATGATGACAGCTCAATTTAATTAAGATTGTAGTAAACCGTGTGAAACAGTTAGAAAATATCCTTGTATATCATGATAAATTGAGTCGAAAATTTCTGGATAACAACATATTTAATAAAAAATATAGGCAATATAAATGTTAGTAGATGCTTTTGAAGCAATAACTGGAAATACATAGATTTATATGATCACAACAATGAATAATTTTCATTCTCGCAACTTTGCTAGTTGTGCCACAATGTCGTCGTCGCTCATTCCTTTGGCTTTCGAACTCTCCCCGATTTTTCCAGATTCCGGAATAGGAGCTCCAGAAACCTTGAATAAAAAGTTACAGAAAAATGAAAACAATAATAGTATTAGGCGAGTGGAATAATTTTTTTATTATTTAAATAGAATCAAATACCTTTCAATTTTATATTTATTAAGAATGTTTAGGTAGATTTTTAGGTGCTAAAATCATCAATAATGCCACGGTAATTTTCAAACGACTAGAAATGTACCGCCAGTAAAAACTGACGTCACAATTTCGTAAGTTAGGCAGGCCATAGAACAGTTGCCATATATTGAAATACGACTGGGAACTTCAGAAATATTAGTTTTCAATAATCCATAAATTCTCAATTATATGTATTGGTAAATACTCTTTCTTAATTATCATATATATTATAATACCACAAGTGATAATATTTTGCCTAGTAATTTCGTGAATGACATTGTTATCAAAACTACGAGCAGTAGGCGAGTAGTTTTGGATCAATGTCATAAGCAGCAAGCTGGAGTATGTCAATCGACGAATATTTCCAGGAAAAATAGTATCACGAGTTGTATTCGTATGACTATTTCATGATTGAATGAGACAAAATAAATATATAAGAAATAGGAAACATAATTTAAGTATATTCCAACTCGAACTGCGAAGGAGAACATAACGATATAGTAATAAAATACAGAATTTACTTTTTTAGAAATTAACTACCTACTTATAGTTATTCACAAAGTGGAATGTACAATTTTGATAAACAGTATTTTTTTATTATCTTGGAGATGGTTGCTCTCAAAAGAGTGTTTACAATTGCTATCCAATTCAAACAAAATAAATTGAATTTATGTGATATGGAATAATTAAAAAAAAAGATATCGTCGCCGAGGGCTCGAATCATCGACCTTCGTATCCTCGCGCAACAACCCTAACAGTTGCGCTACATCAGCTAGTAATTATAATAGTCAGTCACAATGACTTGAGTAATTGAAGAAGATTACTTCAAAAAGGAATTTGGATTCTATTATTGTTGTGTCAAATATGCAAACTTTTTATATTACACATGAAACGTCCAGCCAGAATAAAATTGTCTCACCTTTCGTACAAAATATCTCACTAACGCGAATTATAAGTAAATAAAATAAAGTAGGAACTTAGGTTATTGTCTCAGATTTGAATCCAAAGCAATCTTGACCAGACAGGATGTCAAAATTTTATCGCTGATAAACGAGGTTTGTTGGTCATGTGTGGGTCAATTCGGCTTTTGTATTGGTAGAGCAAGTCCGATAAAATGTAATAAACAAAAAATATCGCTAGAATACAGAAGAAACCGTGAAAATGGTCGATTCTGATTGGTTCTCTAGATCAAGAGTGGAATAGTCAATAAAAAATCAATTGTCTCAAAATGTTCCCACATGTGTTGTGGCTTACTGCTTATAACACATTTGTGTGAATAATAATTATTATAATTCACACTAGAGGGCATTTGAATCGGAGAACTTGGCAACACGGCGCACGAATTGTGGGCGGTGCCTTGTCAGTTCTCAATATTCAGCACATTGTTGCCAAATCTCCAACATTCACATGATATTTTGTTACGGAGAATAAGAAATATTTGGACATGCTGGTTGCTCGAGAAAGTCAAGAATGAACTCTACTATCATGACTTCCTCCTATTATGATTTATCTTCTGTTTTATTCCACGATAGGAGCGGCAAGACTCTATATCTTGACTTGACAACCTTGCTTTATGAGTGGAAATGGAATATTATCTGACCAATAACGAAACAGCATGAAAGCTGACGTCACCATTTATTCGACGTATCGCCAAATGGCGGCCATGACGGTGCGTTTGAAATGAGCTCGAAAATTCAACAATTTTGAACAAATCATGGACTTATTTTTTACATATAAAAAGCGTGGGATGTGTTGCAAAAATGAATTTAGGACCTTAACGATACAGTGGAGTAATTGAATGCCAATAATTCAATATCAGCCCACTCGAACATTGACTATTCTGAAAAACAACTTGAAAAGGTGAAGTGGTGAAAAAATAAAATATACACTTTGGTAGTAAGGAAAAAACACATTTTGCAATACTTACAGCTCCACTAATCTCGATTCCTATTTCGTCGAGTACTTTATTGATGATGTGGTCACTTTCTTCCTCATCTCCAGATTCTGTCAGCATATCATCTAAAGTATCATTTACTGAAAAAAAAATCGTACATATTATCAGTCGACCAAAACTACTGACATAAACTACTCTAAGAGTTTAAATTTTTAAAATATCAATTTAATTAAATATTGATCATTGCGACAAGCTTTTATGATCATATAAATTGTGTATAATGAGTTTATAAGTTGATAGTTGAAATTATAAAGGAACATTTCATTTTATTCTTTTTAGAATGTTTAAATGAAAGATTTTTATTGAAAAACAAAATGTTACTTTTAATTTTTTAATCGCCACCTTCTAATAAGGTCCACAGCTTTTATAGTCAACTAGCAAATCTCGCAAAAGTTGTTTTGCTATATACATTATTTCGATAATATAGTTTTTCAGTTCAATATTTATCAAGACAAGAATTGCCCAATTTTGACGAAAGAATCATAATACTCGACTCCAAAAACCCCAGATGAAAATTTTGAATAGAATCGGAACATAATTACAAAACTCGTCTGCAATATTGGATCTACCATCTTGAATTCTATAATTTTGACGAAGGAATCATAATTTTCGATCCCGAAAACGCCCACTTATAAATCTTGAATAGAATCGGTATATAATTAAAAAACTCGTCCGGAATATTGGTTCCACCGTCTTGTATTTCCAAATCCCGCCCTTTCCAAATTTTGACAAAAGAATCATAATCTCCGACTCCGAAAACACCCAAATAACAATTTTGAAGAGAGTCGGATCATAATTACAATACTCGTCCGCAATATTGGGTCCACCATCTTGAATTTCCTGATTTTGGCGAAAGAATCATAATCTCCGACCCCGAAAACCCCCATGTACCAATTTTGAATAGAATCGGACCATAATTACAAAACTCGTCCAATATATTAGATCCGCCATATTGAATCATAATCTCCGACCCCGGGAACCACCAGATATCAAATTTGAATGAAATCGGATCATAATTATAAAATCCGCCATTTTGGATCCGCGATCTTGAATTTCTCAATTTTGACGTAGGAATCATAATCCCCGATCACGAAAACCTCTAGGTACCAATTTTGAGAAGAATCGGATTATAATTACAAAACTCGTCCGCCATATTGGTTCCGCCATCTTAAATTTACAAATTCCGCCCTTTCCAAATTCTGACGAAAGAATCATAATCTCCGACCCCGGGAACCCCCCCCCACATACCAATTTTGAATAGAATCGGACCATAAATACAAAACTCGCCCGATATATTAGATCCGCCATATTGAATTTCCTGATGGTACCGGGATAAAAAGTATCCTAGAATCTTCTCCTGGGTCTAAGCTACCTCCTTACCAATTTTTATCCAAATTGATCCAGTAGTTTCGGTGCCTATTCAATACAAACAAACAAACACAAACAAACAAACAAACAAACAAACAAACAAACAAACGAACGAACGCACAAACAAACAATATTATAATATTAGTATAGATAAAGAGTGCTGAAAATATTTGTAAATGTTGCATGTTGTTGAAATTGAAACTAGTGTGTGAAAAAAATTGTGTCAGCAATGATTTGATATGAAAATTTGTGATATGGACAATGTTGCCACATATTTACAAGGTCCATCGATGAAAAGTCCACTGAAGAACTAGAAACTATCTAATTTCATGGGTAATACTGAAAATATCAGTGTTATATATTTTTGGAAAGCGCAAAGCATCATGGCTTCAAATATAAAGAAATATATAGGGTGTTACATTTTATAAAACATACTTTGAGTTATATCTGCATAATTATAGATTATTTCGAAAATCTGATTACGCCACTGGATTCCACGTGAAGAAATATGTAAAAGGCAGTTTTTACTTTTTCGATAAGTTGAAAGATAACTGAGATACAGGGGGCGTCCCAAAATGCTACATTTCCAATTTCGCCCTGTATCTCAAAAAAAAATAACCAAAGTTCGCGAATACCACAAATCTCTATTTTTGAAAATAAGTGAGATATCGAAAATGGGACAGCCTGTACAGTTACCCTGATAGCAACATTACTTTATAGCGTCATTTTGTCTCACAGCCAACTTACTCATATCATCTGTCATTTCCATTTTCATATTTTCCCGCGTAAACGCTTCGATTGTAGCCGCTATTTGTTCGGGTTTCATCGTTTTGTTCATATCCGACATGGTCTTTCCTGCCGTTCCCATGGCCTCGGCTAGTTTGACGTTCGCTCCCATGGCTTTGTTCTGGAATGCGATACCTTCAACAGATATACCGGGCGGTCAGAAAACACGAAGAAGCACTGTTCACTTTGCTTATACATAGTTGAATTATAGACTAGCCGGTAATGACAGATTTTGTGCAACGTTCATTTAATATACCGGGTGTTCCATGTTATCGTATACATGCAATATCTCGCTATACACATAAAAAAATCTATTACTTTTGACAGTTCTGTGGCAACTATCCTCCATTTTCTATTGTCATTGAAGTTGCGTGTCATCCTATAAGGAATACAACGATAGCATATACTTGGTATTATTATATTATTATAGCAACAAAAACAACAACATTTAATGTATGAATTTCAACTAAAATATCTTCAATGCGACTCAAAAAATAAACTAAGAATCACAGCAAGTGTTCAAAATTACTTTGACATGGAAGCATCGGCTTTTTGAAACAAAAAACTTGAGCAGAGACAATTTTTCATTTTCATAAGGATAGTTGAGTAACTTGAATCAAGTCACATTATGTTGATATGTTCGTTGTTATCAATAAAAAAATACCAAGTATACGCTATCGTTGTATTCCATATTGAATGACACGTAATTTCCAATGAAAATATACAGGGGGTGCCATTTGAAAATAAAAAGTGGACGTACCTGCCAGAGAACTGACAAATATAATAGATGATTTATACGTCATTAGGAAGGCACTTCAATGCCATTCAATGCAGATTTTGAATTTTTCAATTATCCTGTCAAATAAGTGAGATACTGCCTATATACGATAACTTGGGACACCCGGTATGCATCTTCCAAGTCTTGATTTCAATGGGTTATAGGATTGTTCAATCATTTATTCCTGCGAATAGGAACAACTAACAATAGTGATATATAATAATCTAATAATGAAGCATAATTATTGAGGTGAGGTTATGAAATTTGCAGGAGGAAGGGAAAGTCCAAAGATAAAGTCAATTACGTAAGATACGGGTGCTGCTTCCGTAAAAAGTGCGACAAAATTTAATTTTTCAGAACTGAAAATTTTCCAGGAAAAATATGAAGAGTTAGTAAATTGGGCGTCCTGAGTCTGAGTCTGAAGTGATTTTCGACCTATTTTGACTCCTAATATTATTTTCCGGAAATTGGGATGGTTCCATGGCCGTTGGCGAGCAGTGTATATCAATGAAGATGACCCCACTTTCTCATAGAGTGCATTTTTGGTAAATCTCTCGCTCCAGCAAATTTCAGGATCCTTACCCAACGATTGCGTTAGATACAGGGGTGTTTCCATTAGAAGTGGGTCACACTGTATAAGTAGAAGAGAGATAAATATTATACACCTAGTGAAGACATTCTTCCACCAATTCCTCCCAATATAACTCGCTATAAAAATATAGAATGTTGGCCCGCGACACAGGGTTTATCGATGTTCTAAGTCGGCATGTCATCCAAGGGACCCACTCACTTAGTCCAAGTTAACAGGAAGAAGTTTCTCGGAGAGTCGCAACCCAGTCCTTGCCCCGGCCCTGACCTCACCTTTCGGTTGGAAAAAAGTTCAAGATTTTGTTTGAGAAGAAGCTCGGCAATGGAGTGCAATGATCTTGTCTCACGAAAATTGGGGCGCTTGCTGGTTTGCAAACGCCTAGGTCACTCCCACAAGGGCGGCATACGAACCGGGAGTATCAATTTTTGTTATAGTCGATGATCTAAGAATGTATGCCCTTTGGCGAAACAATGAATTGGGGCCCATTAATCAGTTTCCCGACATTTGCATACGATTCCGGAGAGGTGAGCTCGACTTATTCGAACATCAATTGACTAGACATCTTTCAAATAATCAATGATTTAAGTTCGTATGCACATCTCAGGACCGATAAACTAGGATATTCTGTATAACTAGATGCTATTTGCATACGAATTCAATGTGAGCATACGTTGTAATAATCGGGAGTGCCTCGGTCCCCGCACTGCAGGCCAGAGGTGCACCGAAAGCGAACTATATAGATAATCTGGAAGTCTCCTTATCTCACTTCACATGAAACCGGGTCAAAGATTGACTTCCTGGGAGTGATGGGGGTATTCGAAGACGCAAATTGCAAATACATTTGTATTTATTCATCAAAAATTTACAGCTCAACAACATTACATGTGTGAGAGGTTTAGTACCAAGAATTTTTTTTGTGTAATTTTAATTTGAAAAACAGGGCTTTGAAAAGATGATAAAAAAAATTGACGACAAAATACTCGCAGGATGATCAAGAGGGATCGTACAGGGAGAAGAGGGGTGGATTATTGCTAACAATAAATCTAATAGAAATTCTTCCCTGGGGCTTATGGGACTGCTTATCATAATACTGGCCGTCTGAAAAATATATAAAGAATGGACATTTAATTTGTTGAATGTCTGTATCCTGAACTTCAATCTACATTTTTGTTATTCACAAAAAAAAAATATTTGAAAATGAAATTATATTAAATGAATACAACATTATATTTCAAAGGAAAAATAATACGTCGTCCTCTCTATCATTATCTTTAGAGTCATCTTCGCTCTCGCTGTCTGAAGATGATTCTTCAGAGTTGTCATCAGTACCTGTTAGTGAGAATATCATTTTGAATGGCTATAATTATTGAAAAATCTTGGCATGATCGAAAGATATACCTAATACTTTCTCAGTTGAAGTCTCAGAGATTATGATGACACCAACCTCTGCTGGAAGGGCTTCACCAAGGTACCAATTGAATAAATCTGTAATATGGATTATACAAAAGTAAATGGTTTTTGAGATATTTAAATATCGGATCTCCGATAAGAGGGAAAAACATTATTGAATGCCTAAATCATTTTAATTGGTTTTTAAAATTTTAAAATCGGTTCAGAAACAACTAAGTTACAATAGATATTTATGGTGAACCACCCTGTACGGAATGTGCAGATTGTATGCAAACCATCACCTCATATATACTGTGTGGTCCACTAACCATGGTCAAAATTTGAACAATTCTTCGATTATCGATTATTTGAAGGATATCCAGTCAAATGAATAAGTCGAGCTCCCCTCTTCGGAATCGTATGTAAATGGCGGGAAATTGATTAATGGGCCCCAATTCATTGTTTCGCCAAAGGGCATACATTCTTAGATCATCTACTATAACACTGAAAAGTTGGCACTTCCGGTTCGTATGCCGCCCTTGGGGAGTGACCTAGGCGTATGCAAACCGGCAAGCGCCCCAATTTTCGTGAGACAAGATCATTGCACTTCATTGCCGAGCTTCTTCTTAAACAAAATTTTGAACTTTTTTCCAACCGAAAGGTGAGGTTAAGGCCGGGGCAAGGACTGGGTTGCGACTCTCCGAGACACTTCTTCCTGTTAACTTGGACTTAAACATTGTGTCGCGGCGAACAGTCTGATAGTGTCTTATTATGTTTTTGAAAAGGAAACATCAGGGCATTCAATAGACATCTCACCTTGAACTTTGCTGTTAGCAGCATAGGTGCGTTGCCTCTGTTTTCGCATCTGCACCAGCTGCTTTGCCAACAACTTACATCCATCGGTGTCACCTTCTTTGGCTAATTTCTTTATCTCCAGTTCCTGCAGAAAAACAATGCAGTGTACATGTCTCAATTGAAATTCGATGTAAATATTTTAAGGACATATTGTTGGTGTCGAAATTATTATTTCTTCAATATTTAAACATGTGTCCTGAAAAGAACCTCTTCCTAGCAACAGCCACTACTATAAGTTAGGTTAAAGATAAAGATTATCCAAAATTGTGTCTAAAATATCGGATCAAAAAATCTTCTGAAAATTGGTATCCCTGCTTCAAAAATGATATAAAGCGAGTTTTGGGGTTTTGGCTCAAATTTTATGTTTAAAAACATCAACTCTTGACTTAAAATAGCATGATCTTATTCGCGGGTATCAATGTTACCAGGTGGCGCTCGGTTTTCATCGTTCCATGTCAAAGCCACGTCAAAACTGGGGGAAAACAAACTCAATCCTCACTCAATCCCATTAGTGTTATTAGCTTGTGTACTGTGTACTGATAAGAGTGATAAGTTTTTAAATTTCTTGACATGAATTGTCAATATTCGATCGAAAAAGTTTAATAATGCCTGTTGTAGATGTTCTTTTGGCAGATATTTTGCTCTATTTAGATGGAAAAAGCCGACAAGTAGTGAAAGGAGAAGCAGTTCTCCGTGCTAATCATGTGATTTTGTGTGAGGCAGAAGACTTCAACGAAAGGCACATTTTTGCACTTTGTCTACAAACTTCGGCGATGATATCTTTCCCACATGAAGTAAAATTGAAGTTGGGGTCCAGAGGAACTCCTGTAGAATAATGGATTTGCATTTGTTCCTGCAAAGCAGGACAGTCTTGGTATTGTAAACATGTTGTAGCTGTTCTTTTATATGTCAATTGATTTGCTCGTCATAATTAGTTTGAATTGTTTGAACTATCTCCAATTCTTCACCCGTTCACTGTTCACTAAACTAATGAAAATGTAAAAAAATTAACCAACTCAACCATCATCACTACCAACAGTGCCAACACTACAGCAAGCTGAATGCGATGTAGTCTATGCACTTTATACATGGACAAAAGTTTGTTTTCCCCCAGTTTGAAGTTCGTATTATGTAACCTAGATGTCGCCCACTTCGTGAAAATCGCGAATAGGCGATAAAAAAAATTAAAGATTTCGGTATCTTCTATTCTTTTTTATAGAATTAACCGATTGCTAGAAAATCGTAATCAACGAAAGGGAAACTTATCACATCGTTTTCCAGAATGGGTTCAACAATTGCATACGGAGGTGATCGTATGTCGGAACGCATTTCAGACTGCTATTTTAGAGGCGAGTACTGAAATACTCGCACTTGATCCGTTATTGTGAACAACATTTCAGATATTATTCCAGATTTTTTAGGATTTTCTCTCTACGTTCCTATAAAATAAAAATATGAATATTTTTTCAATATACTTACCATGCTCACCATGGGTATCTTTTTAACGGTGAGAGATACGAGGTCGGTTGAATGACACCAAATGTGGAGTTTGTCAAGGCCAACTATAATGTGAAAAAATATTTTGATAAAATCTATTCGTTTTTGTTTTATACGCAAAAAACAGATTTTAATCATTTTCATGTCTCCTCTGTAACTTCTTCATTTATGAAAATATTCAAATAGGAATTTCACATTCTCATGGCAGTTTTTCAAAGTGATTTCAAAAAAAATATGAAATTTATACCAACTCTTCTAAAATTTGAGATATCAGCACCAACTTTAGTTTTTCGAATGTAGGTCATAGCTCACTATGACTTAGTTACAAATAACATTTTTTTTCTTACAGATGATATGTCGCAGTAATAGTTTTGTGTTGATAACAACGGAGTTATCGTCATTTATACAAAAACAAACAATTATTTGGAAGCCGCCATCTTGAATTTATAAATTTGAACAAAAAAATCATGATCTCCGACCTCAAAACCCTCCACTTATCAACTTTGAATGGAATCGGACCAAATCTTGTCCGCCATCTTGGAGCAGCCATTTTTTTTACTTTCAACAAAAATTCCATTATGAATTGTCACCTAAATTATGAACACCTGCCAAATTTCAAGTTAATCGGAGTTATGGAATTTTTGTTGAAATGAAAAAAAATTGCTGCTCCAAGATGGCGGACAAGATTTGGTCCGATTTCATTCAAAATTGGTAAGTGGGGGTTTTTGAGGTCGGAGATCATGTCTTATCTGTTAAAATTTATGAATTCAAGATGACGGCCGCCAAATATTTTTTTGTTTTTGTATAAATGACGATAACTCCGTTGTTATCAACACAAAACTGATACTGCGACATATCATCTGTAAGAAAAAAAAAAGTTATTTGTAACGAAGTCATAGTGAGCTATGACCTACATTTGAAAAACTAAAGTTGGTGCTGATATCTCAAATTCTAGAAGAGTTGGTATAAATTTCATATTTTTTTCGAAATCACTTTGAAAACCTGCCATGAGAATGTGAGATTCCTATTTGAATATTTTCATAAAAAAAGAAGTTACGGAGGAGACATGAAAATGATCAAAATCTGTTTTTTGCGTATAAAACAAAAATGAATAGATTTTATCAAAATATTTTTTCACATTATATATAGTTGGCCTTCACAAACTCCACATTTGGTGTAATTTAACCGACCTCGTATCTCTCACCGTTAAAAAGATACCCATGGTGAGCATGGTAAGTGGGACACACTGTATAGAAAAAATATCAAATTTGTACTTAGCTTTGCACGTTTCGGGAACGAATCTGATCCCGTTTTCAACATATAACCATAATATATGAATAGCAATTTCTTATTTGTCTTGATACTTTTCAGTTCTCAGTGACAATTGGTGACGTTGGCAATCAAATGAGTTACAGGATGTTTTCATTTGTTTGTTTTTACCTAACTTATTACAGTGGCTGTAGCTCGCAGGGGGTCAAATGTTTAAATGACGAAAAAGTTTTATTTTGATCCCAACAATACGTCCTTGAAATATTTACTTCAAATGAATCACCCTGTATATCACTTCCTACCACTTACCAATCTTTTCTCATCTCTCTCTAATTGTCTACGATCTCTCTCGATATCCCTGCCAACTTTCCTCAATTGTCGATCAACTTCTCTCTGCTCATCTGAATAAAATAGTTCTTTATGTACCAAGTGCGTTATACAGGGTGGCATTGAAATAAGTGCAAATATTTCAAACATCGAGAAAGCTCGACGTGTACTATCGAATGGCACTAATAAAAAAAATTAGGGATCACAATGGAATATGAGGTTGAATACCTTTATCCACCCTAAGTTCTACACTGTAGAGTAGAAATCCAAATTCTGATATTTTCAATATTTGTCTATTACCATGAATATTACCTTGTCATGATGGAATGCAATACCCTGTATATGATATTATTATCAATTCGAATAGAGTAATAAGGTGGTTCATGAGGTAGAAATAAGACGTGGAGCGTTTATTTTTCCTGAAGATTTATCACGACTTCTGTAAGCAAACTCACAAGTACAAAATAGCTTAGCAAAAAATAGCTGATAGCACATTTAAATCTGAAATTTAAAATTAGTCCTATAAATCTTTTTATACGTGGAAATGATAAAAATTCCGAACAAATATGAACAGACATTACAGTGTGTCCCACTTACCATGCTCACCATGGGTATCTTTTTAACGGTGAGAGATACGAGGTCGGTTAAATGACACCAAATGTGGAGTTAGAAATTCATTCGTTTTTGTTTTATAGGCAGAAAACAGTTTTTGTTCATTTTCATGTCTCCTCCGTAACTTCTTTATTTATGAAAATATTCAAATAGGAATTTCACATTCTCATGGCAGTTTTTCGAAGTGATTTCGAAAAAAATATGAAATTTATACCAACTCTTCTAGAATTTGAGATATCAGCACCAACTTTAGTTTTTCAAATAACTCAGTAAGAAATAAATTTTTTTCTCTCACAGATGATATGTCACAGTAATAGTTTTGTGTTGATAACAACGGAGTTATCGTCATTTATACAAAAACAACAAATTATTTGGAAGCCGCCATCTTGAATTTATAAATTTTAACAAAAAAATCATGATCTCCGACCTCAAAAACCCCCACTCACCAATTTTGAATGGAATCGGACCAAATCTTGTCCGCCATCAATTAACAAAAATGGCTGCTCCAAGATGGCGGACAAGATTTGGTCCGATTCCATCCAAAATTGGTAAGTGGGGGTTTTTGAGGTCGGAGATCAAGATTTTTTGTTAAAATTTATAAATTCAAGATGGCGGCTTCCAAATAATTTGTTGTTTTTGTATGAATGACGATAACTCCGTTGTTATCAGCACAAAACTATTACTGCGACATATCATCTGTAAGAGAAAAAAAAGTTATTTGCGGTTATTTGTAACTAAGTCATAGTGGGCTATGACCTACATTTGAAAAACTAAAGTTGGTGCTGATATCTCAAATTCTAGAAGAGTTGGTATAAACTTCATTTTTTTTTCGAAATCACTTTGAAAAACTGCCATGAGAATGTGAAATTCCTATTTGAATATTTTCATAAATAAAGAAGTTATGGAGGAGACATGAAAATGATCAAAATCTGTTTTTTGCGTATAAAACAAAAACTAATAGATTTTATCAGAATATTTTTCACATTATAGTTGGCCTTGACAAACTCCACATTTGGTGTCATTTAACCGACCTCGTATCTCTCACCGTTAAAAAGATACCCATGGTGAGCATGGTAAGTGGGACACACTGTATATATTTCTTTCCATTGATGTAGAAGTTTAAGATGTTTATTTTCCAAAAAAAATCAAGTTCTACGCCCATGGAATGATATTCATCTCAATCACACCAAATTAGAGTAAATTATCATGATCCGTTTCAAAGTTATGAAGCAAATACTATTTGAAAGTTGTAACTTCAGAGCCGTCTGGTGCCAAAACTAAGCAACGTCGAACTGAGGTAAGTTTGCTTGTATCGGATTGTTTTGGTCTGAGAAATACGGGGAGAAATATGTGGTGAGTTTTTGTAAAGACCTTTTAGGGACACCCTCGAGGACACCCTGTATATAAAAATATTCTTTTTAAGAATCGAAAGTTGGCTTACTTCCCGTCAAACCGGAAGTGAGGCAAGGCAAGTAAATATGTAAAAAAAAGTGAATTTCACTATAATACACAAACATCGAAATTCGCTTTTGCATCTTCAATAATAAAAAAGTTATAGAGGTCTGGTGGTTATATTGAAAAGTAGCAAAAACTTGGGACACCCTGTATATTATTCCATTTCCAGATTCTCCCTGGAGAGTTGATTTCATTGACTCATAACAGTTGGGGTCTAGCAGTGACAATTACAGAGATATAGGATGTGAAAAATCGAGATTTTTCAACTTTAAGATTTTTTTGTGTGGAAACTATTTATAATTGGTCAAAACGGTTTCCATGTCCCTATCTCAACTTTTTATTTACTATCAATTGATATTTAATTGAAATAGGTACAGAGTGGTTCAGAATTAAGATTTTCAACCACCCTGTATCTAATTCAATTAAATATCAATTGATAGTACATGAAAAGATGAGATAGGGAGATAAAAACCGTTTTGACTAATTATGTAACATTTCATTCCACTTTGAGCATTGTGGCTATTTCGTAGTTTAAATTACGCCAGTCGGGCAACCAGCCACTCCCGTATGAGAATTTTAGTTTTGGAGTGATTCTTCCCACTGTTCTACTCAGATGGCGTTACTTTCATTTTGTCGATGAAAGACGCCTCGAGGGGAATATAATGCCGACTTGATTTTTGTTCGGCTAGGCTTCGCTAAGTCAGCGGTCCTAGGACTGCTGGCTGGAGACTACACTGCACTGATGAGAGCCAAAGTGCTCGGAACCGGTCTGTGCATTGCATCAGCATTCGTTTGTACGAGTCGATGCATAGATTTCGGGAGGTTGTAATTCAATGTCCTGTCTGTATTATTTTATTTCCTCCCGAAATCTACCATTATTGTTCATATTATATTGTGTGGTAATGACTTTGTATTTATTTCATTATGAACAGTTTCGACACGAAGAAATTCTTGAAGTTGAAAAATCTCGATTTTTCACAGCCTATAATAATATCTTTATCATTCCCGCTAGACCCTAAGTGTATTAGATCGATGAAGAGTGGGTGACTGATCTCTGGATGAAATCAGCTCTTTAGGAAAAATATGAAAATGGAATAATATATAGGGTGTCCCGTTCAAAAAATCAAAGATGTTACTACTTTTCAATATAAGCGGCAATGTCGCAGTATTGAGAATATTTTTGGTCGATAGAACACAAAACACAACTAATTATCCAAGAAACCAAATTTTCGCTTATTATATCACGAGAGGTTCAATTATTTCCGGAAATTATTTCGAGAACACGAATATTTTGAAAATATTCTAAATATTCGTGTTCGAGAAAAAATTCCCGGATATTAATTGAAGCTAAAGTGGTATTCGGTAGGAAAATTCACATGTTGATGGTTGTTTGTGATGAAATGTAAGAACTAACGTATAGTAACAACATGTGTTTTTGTAAATTTCGAATTTGCAAGTATACCTACACAATATTATATGGTAAACTGTTGATAAATGATTTTTATTCATTGACTTATAGAATGAACTCGAAATAATCTGAAGTTGAATGTAAATGTCATTTAACATATGACCGTCAAAAAATTTTCAGTGTAATTTCATGCTCCGTCCCCCAAGCCCCTAAGGAGGAGGAAAAAATTTCCAAGGAATTTGTTTAGTTGCAATGGTAACGATTCGAAATACAGGCTTTAAATTGATTGAAAATGTTTGGTGTGAAATTTTCAGTATAATCCTACGTTGCCTTCTCCAGAACCGTCTAATATGCCATCCACCGTGAATCAGCCTGTATACACCTCGGTATACACCCTGTCCCAGCTAAAATGTCCCCCCCTGTAAAAAATCAACCGCGCGATCGAATGACTTGAAATTTGGTCACCCAGTATATTTGATGATGCTCACTCGAATTATGTTATTGAATGAATCGTAGGTATAGAGGGTCACACCGAAGTGCACCTCAACTTTATTATTTGAATATGGACACCCTGTATATTATTCCATATTCAAGTAGAGTTCATTGTTACAAATTCAACATGCCGGGTTTGATGGGATTTTTTTGAACGACTACAAAGATATGGCAAAAAATCAAACGATTCAATAAAAAATTTATATGATTAGATTTCATCAATATAACACGATTGAAATCGAATGAAAGGAAAATAATTAAAATCTAATAACCAGATTGTTTCGATGGTGATAGCAACTGGCCAGCTCGGTCGCCAGACCTCACCCCACTTGATTTTTATTTGTGGGGCTACTTGAAACAACAGGTTTATGAGTCACCAATTATGAATATGGAAGAAATGAAAGAGAAAATCACAAATTTATGCACACAAATTGATCGCAACGTGATACATAGGGTCACAATGAACGTTATCAAAAGAGCTAGGCGAGGAGCTAGGATATGTTTGCAGCAGAATGGACGACATATTAGCAGTTGAGGTTTCAATTATTTTTTTCGTATTCAATTTCAATCATGTTATATTAATAGAATGTAATTACATACATTTTTTATTGAATCGTTTGATTTTTTGCCATATCTTTGTAGTCGTTTGAAAAAATCCCATCAAACCCGGCATTGTAGAAATTGTAATAATGAACTGTACTTGAATGTGGAATAATATACTGAGTGTCCCTATTCAAATAAGAAAGTTGAGGTGCACTTCGGTGTGACCCTGTATACCTACGATTTATTCAATAGCATAATTCCAGTGAGCATCATCAAATATACTGAGTGACCAAATTTCAAGTCATTCGATATCGCGGTTGATTTTCCACAGGGGGGACATTTTAGCTGGGACACGGTGTATATTTATACATATTATTACCTATTACGTTTGAGTAAGAAACATTTTTAAAAAAATCTCAAACATATTTTTTCACGGGGATTGATCATAGAAAGTAGCTAATCAATATTGCTTCAAGAAGAAAATATCCTGGAAATATCATGAAACATTTTCTTGTGTAGAATCATCAGATTTTTTCATTTGAATTGGTCTTGGTTGTGAAATTGAGAAAATCGTGAAAATCTATTTCGGAACAATACCCATCATAACATTGTTGAAGATAAGTATAATAAATGAAGGAAGAACAGAAAATATTCAAAATGATTAAACAATTTCTAACAGGAAATACCTACCAGCTGCAAGGAACATTATAGGTAGTATATAACATTGAAGCTCATTTCCTTATTTGTAGTAGGTACCCAAGATACAGCAAGATATTTGGTAGTACCTGATGACATCATTCAATTTTATTGAGGCTGATATAATTATTATGAAATCCATGAAAGTGGTATATGACTATGAGTCATATCAATATGGTCTATGTTCTAAAAGGTATCATTAATTGAAAAACTCACCTTTAGGATCAGGCTTTGACCAGAAATTGAACATTTTGATGAAACTAATGAATATCAACCAAAGTATTTGTTTTTCCTGATAATCTCAAAGGTAGGAAGCTCAAATTCTCATTTAACCTTATAGGTAAAATGATTTGATAGCATAATCACTAGAATAGCACGTTACCATTTCGACAAAATCATATTAAAAGTTATTAATTGATATAGTATTTAATTTTTGATTCATCACACAACAAATACCACCACTTTTATTTTTGATTTTCCTTCATTCATCCCAATCATTCCTTCAAATCCTAATCTCCTTGTCACTTCACTTGTCAGTGTTGTCACATTGACAACTGACAATATTCTGATTCTTCTTCAGTTCCACATTGACAGTATATTTCCTTTTTCCTATTCCTCTTCTTCTCCTTCATTCCACTCCCATCCGGTGCCGGACATCTAGCCACTGTCATTGTCTTACTTGTCATTTGTCATCCTGTCATTAACCCATCTGTCATCTGATTTTTGTTTTTGACATTTCTTGCTGCTCGCTGTGCTGCTGATCTGATCATTTTGTAGGAATTGTAGGTTGTTGGATATTTGCTGGATTTTTGTCGAATAATTTAACAAAAAATGGGATTTGGTGATTATCCAGCAGAGTATAATCCAAAAGTGCACGGACCTTATGATCCAGCACGTTATTATGGAGCAGGTAACCATTATTTATGAGTTATATTTCAAATATGATCAGGCCCATTCCCAGACAAATTATTATATAACCCTCCATGAAGATGATTTTTTTTTTAATATCAATTTGAAGATTATTGTTTCAAATTATCGCATTGTTGATAACCATTTTATTAGCTTTGCCTTTGGGGATATTTGGAAATACCACCTCATATTCACGTATTTTCAGCTGATGCTCCCTTTGGACAAGTGAAACTGAATGAAATTGGTTCTTGGATTGCTCGTAGAAATAAAACACCATCAGCTTTCACTGGAGCCTTGAGTAGAGGTGAGTTTAATGCAAAGTTTAATGTACTAAGAAGCTCCATTCATTGAGTTTTGAAGATTATATTTCCACTTCATATAGTTGTCACATCTGGAATAGTGATATTATAATTTATGTTTACATTGCATGTTTTTGAGGCAATTTCTTTCATGTTGTAGCATTCTGGAGATGGCAACATAAATATGTTCAGCCCAAAAGGGCTGGTATTGCACCATTCTTGCATGTAGTATTTGGATCCATGGCCCTGTTTTATATAATGAACTATGGAAAAATCAGTGAGTGTTTTCATGGTACTTATCTAATAGATCTGTTTATTTTTTCAATTTACTTTTTCAGGCCACCACAGGAACTACAAATATCATTAAGTGAAGTAATAATTGGTTTTTGGTAGTCATACTCAAATGTAATTTGAAAATTAATTAATTTGAAATAAAATATGTTACTGGCTCATTTCTTTTTCTTAGTTGCAGATTTTTGTAGGATTTTGTTCATTTCTTTTTCCAGGAAATAATCCTAACACTTATATGATCATATGTTTTATATACAGGATGCAAAGTTGGTAAAAAAAGCAAGAAAGTGTATAGGCTGCCGACTGGTCAGCAAAGTATACTTTTTCTCTAAACAGTGGACCATTCAGTGGAAGTTTTTTTATTTTTTATTTCATCATATTTTTATTGCACTAATGGGTTAGTTAGTCCCTTTGGGTTGAGTATAAATGACTTTCTTTCAATATTTTATTGTTTTCTAATCTAATTTCTCCTTCCTCCATTGTTTTGATCAGGTTTTTGTTCATGTGTACCTAAGGTTTTTTTTCAAATGATGTTTTCTTCCCTTAAATTGAAAATTTTAGTCTACTGGTCGGCATCCTATCAAACAAAGAGCATAGTCTGCCAGTCGGCAATCTATACACTTCCAAAAAACGAATACAGATTCCCGAACTTTTTCAAAAAACCAGTAGTTTTCAAGACATTGGGTGAACTTTTTCTAAAACACACAATGGATAGTTTTCATCCAACTTTCATTCTAGTTTTGATTCAAAAGAGTGAACAAAAAAATGTATCATTGGTTTTTACTAACTTTTTTGCTGTTTTATTTTGTATTGCACTTAGAAAATTATAGAAAAAACAATAATTTACCAATTTTGTCATCTTAATATCAGCCTAGTTTATAAATAGGGCATCACTAGACATCAGAATTTAAGGACAATGGAAATGATAGGCCAGAAGTCCTCAAAAGACAAAATTTTGAGATTCAACTCAAATTACCTACTGGTAAACAACAAAACCAATATACAGTGTGACCCACTTCTAATGAAAACACTCCTGTATCTTACGTAATCGTTGGGTAAGGATCCTGAAATTTATTGGAGCGAGAGATATACCAAAAATGCACTCTATGACCAAGTGGGGTCATCTCACAATTTTTACAATACTTCGCTTTCAATGTGGCGCAGAAAATCAGTTTTTACAAGATGTGTTTTTACAATCCTAGTTTAGGAGAAACATGAACTCTGTTTGTATTAAAAAGTAAAAGAGACCTCAATAAAATATACAGTGTGTCCACCTTAAGGACTTACCACCCCTGTAAAATCGTTATTATCCGACCAATTTCAAAAAACCTTTTTTTGTTGGATAGGTATTTGAAATGCCCATCCAACGAGAGAGTGATCTAATTCTTGGACTGTTATCGTGGCCAACTGCGACAAATTTCAATGACCCATATTCCAGAAAGTACTATTAGGGATTTTTTTTCACGAAACTTGATGATGGATTCTGAATCAGTACCACTTGAAATATACCTGTACCGATTTTCATCATCATAAAACACAGGGTGTCCGAAAAAACGAATCATCATTTTCTTCAAATAGGTGATCAGCAAATGTAGTTCTGTGGTTTTTCTAGAAAGAAATAGTCACAAATTATCATTGAGAATTATTCCAAATATACCTGTACCAATTTTCGTCATTTGAATATACAATGTGTCTGAGAAAAAAATTAAAAAGGATAGGTAAGCAATCTTTTTCATCCTGATAATTCTTCACTCGAAATAAAAAGATGGATCAAGATCACTTGAACCATACCTGTACCGATTTTCATCATCATTAAACACAGGGTGTTCGAAAAATCTAATTATTTTTTTTGAGTTGATGAAAAAATATTGCCTACTTTTTCTTTTTAATTGTTTTCTCATACACATCGTATTTTTGAATGATGAAAATCGGTACAGATATGTTCAAAGTGATCCTCAATAATAATGTGTCATGAATTCTTCTCAAAACTACCACAATACTACATTTTCTGATCGCACATATTAAAAAAAAAACAATTCGTTTTTTCGCACACCCTGTGTTTTATGATGATAAAAATCAGTGAAGGTGTTTTTCAAGTGATCGTGATTCAGAATCCATCATTGTTTTTTGTGAAAAAAATCCCTAATAGTACTTTCTCAAATATGGGTCAATAAATAAGTTGGTCGCAGTTGGCCACAATTACAGTTCATGAGTAAAATCACTCTCTTGTTGGATGGACATTTCAAATACCTATCCAACAAAAAAAAGTTTTTTGAAATCGGTCAGATAATAACAATTTTACAGGGGTGGTAAGTCCTTAAGGTGGACACACTGTATATGGAACCACCCCAATTTCCGGAAAATGATATTAGGAGTAAAAATAGGTTGGAAATCGATTCGGAATCAGGACGCCAGGATGTTCAGTTCATCAAAATTAAATTTTGTCTTGCTTCTCATGGAAGCAATCCCGTATCTCACGTAATTATTGAGGTAGGGTTCTGAAATTTGCAGGAGGAAGGGAAAGTCCAAAGATGCAGTAAATTACGTAAGATACAGGGGTGCTTCCGTAAAAAGTGCGACAACATTGTATTTTTCAGAGCTGAAAATTTTCCAGGAAAAATATGAATTGTTAGTTAATTGGACGTCCTGATTCAGAATCTGAAGGGATTTTCGACCTATTTTGACTCCTAATATCATTTTCCGGAAATTGGGGTGGTTCCATGGCTGTTGGCGAGCAGTGTATATCACTGAAGATGACCCCACTTGGTCATAGAGTGCATTTTTGGTATATCTCTCGCTCCAGCAAAATTCAAGATCCTTATCCAACGATTACATAAGATACAGGGGTGTTATTTCCATTAGAATAAGTGGGTCACACTGCATATAAAAACTTCTTGACAGATTTTTTCGAAATAAGAGTAGGTATATACACTCACCGGCAAAAAAATTAGCGAAATTGTTTGCTCTGTAACATTTTCAATTCTGGTCAGATTTTGGTGAAATTTCGACCAAATCGTAGATTCATGTTTTCAAATGTTAGCCTGAATATTAGTTCCTAAGAGAATCTGATGACTCGATAATTATACGGGGAAAAACGAAAGTTACTTTTTTACCCTTAACTCCGTAACGCCCTGTGGGAAAGGTATGAGTGGTTTAATTAACTTAGCTTCATTATATGTTTTAGATTGAAGAGTGATCTCTTCTCTACATGATGGTTTTTTATTCACGTCGATAACCACTTTTTAAAGGAAGATAGAAGTGTTCAAGAGAGAATGGACTGCTTCATCATGTTTGTCAAGTGTGATCCTCTTTTGTTCCTTCTTCACACAATGGTTCTTGAATAACGTCAATATCTCCTTTTTGAGAGAAGATACAAGTGTTTCAAGGAAGTATAGATTTTTTTAATCTTCAATAACAATAATTCAGAACTATCTACATATCTTAGGGGTGACCTATCTAGAGGCTCCCCAGCTAGCACAAACATCCCTGGGATGTTTTGAAAATGTTGACATGAAGATGTTATTCTGAGACGTAATATGCACTGACCAAAGAGGTCTTTGAAGGATATTAAATTATTGTTTTTGTTCTTCTGTGGCATTTCTTTGTTTGCCTACTGAGAGGTATCCCTGGGATGTTTCAGGATGTTTTAGAGATGTAGGCATGAGGATGTTTTTTTGAGGCGTAATATGCCCTTCCCAAAGAGGTCTTAGAAGGATTTTGAAAGTATTGTTTTTGTTCTTTTGTGCCCTTTCTTTGTTTGCCCCACCACAACGTCTCATGCTTACGTCACAATACGATGAATTCTGATTTGTTTTCGATTTTGTTCTTCTTGTTCGCAATTGGCATTCGCGTTTGCAGCGTGTCACGCTTACATCACGCTGCTAACGAACAGAAAGGAATTTGGTGAAGTTTATTGTCTTGGAGGACTTATTTAGTTTGTAATAATGACCATCAGATGCAAGATGTGTTGTTCAGTGCCTCAGTGTAATCAATATATAAAAGTACGAATTTATCAATACACAGCTTCTTCACAGTTGCAAAATTATGCATTGTGGAGAACATTCCAAAAATTGGGAAACCTATTTCCAATTATATGTCTGTGTGTAGTAAGCACTACTCACCGATTAAGAAAGTAATTTCATATCAAGAAAATATTTTTAAGTTCAATCTATTTTTAATGCATTTTTTCAATACAGGGAATTGGAATCCTAATGCAAAAGTTCATTTTGACAAAAGGCTTCAGAAAAGTACCTCGAAAATGGTTTTTTACAGCGATTTAATGTACGCAAGACGCGTTGAAAATGTTTTGTTGTGTCCATGAAAAGGCTTTAAAAAGAACTAGGGAGAAGGTAGTTTTGTGACATTTCAAGGACATCTCGATAATTGCCGCCTGCGGCGGACATTGGCTGTTCTATAATAGTTCTATTCATGTGTGAACAGAACATCGCAGTGGAGGTTCAATGTCTCGAAATCTCGTACTTTTAACATCTCTGAGATGTTTTTGTGCTCGCTGGGTCATTCGCCTTCGCCGAGCCTTGTCAGATACTTTTCAAAGAGCTACGAATCGCCCGTCAAAGAGGATTTTAGGCAATTCTTCAAGGCTACTTTAGTAATTTGATTAAATTCAATATCGAGGAGAGCATATACTCGTTATTGACTACAGGTCTGCTTCTTGTTTGTTTTTTGTAATTGATTTTCCAGTAAGTGCTAAGAAAGTAAGGTAGAAACATGTGATATTGATCCTTCAAGTTGTTAATCAATATCACGCAATTTTGCCACAGGGCGTTGAGAAGTATAGGGTGAAAGAGTAACTTTGGTTTTTCCCTGTATAATGATCAAGTCATCAGCTTTTCAGGAAAACTAATATTTAGGGTAACATTCCGGAACATGAATCCACGATTTGATCTAAATTTCACAAAAATCCGACAAGGATTGAAAAAGTTATAGCGTGAACAATTTGGGCAAATTTTTTGGTGGCCGGTTTATTTTGCCGGTGAGTGTATTTTGTTAATATGGAATAAATACAACATATAAACGGCAGCACTTTATTACAGGGGTAAATCAAAATTTAACAAC